CTAGAGGATCAGAAACTGATAAACCCTGGCCCTTGTTGTGGGGCATGGCCAATGCCCCTAAGATTGGTTCTCAAATTGAAGAGTTGTGGGTATTGTCAGACTGGTCCCTCCACAGCTGGAAATAAAATCTTCATGAATGAGGAGGGCTGAGCCGTGAGAAGAACATGTCCATTCATCGCCAGCATGATGATGCATTCTGTAGGCATGTGTGTCCAACATCAAGAGGTCTAAATGAAGCCTCAGTGGATTCAGATAAGATAAAAAACCCCAAACTGCTCAGGAGACTGCCATGGCAGCACCTCAGTCCACAGTCAATTGGGAGAGCTCAAAACAAAAGCTTGTTCTGCCTCCAGATGTGAAGGGCTTCATTGGAACATGCTGTTCAGGGACTTTATTCAATTTTCAGGAGACAACTTTTCACTGGGGCTGAAAATCTGAGCTAGAACAGAGTGTTCCAAGTCATGAGAAATGAACAGGGGAACAGCTTAGGGGGCTTGTGAGTGGCAAAGAAGGTTTATTTAATAATGGGAGAATGGCAGGAACACCGCCTAGGGTAACAAGAAGGGATTGATCCAATTAAAAGAACAAGACATGAGTTGGAGAAACAATATTAATTGTAGCTCTCCAGCAGGCTGCATGGAACAGGTTATTTTTTTCCCAATTCACAAGAAGTTCACAATATTGATCCCTTGAGGATGTAAATGAAACGTTAAATATACCGCACCCAATACCTTTGTAAGTAAAGCAGGTTTGTGATTAGATTAAACTCAACAGTGTAGGCTGCTGGACTGTTGTCATACAGGGAAATAGGGACTGCTTAGAGAAATCAGTGGACCCACAAAACACACATCTTCCCCTTTACGTCCTCTTTATATGGTTTTCATTCTGGCTCAGTAAGTTCTAGCAGTATGAACTAAACAAACTGGGGCCTGGTTTGCCAGATAATTTTGGAATGAAATCAAGCTTCAAATTCCCCTGCAGTGAAAGGGTCAGACTGCAAGTGGGATGAAGGTAAATCCTTCCCCACAACCTAACCCTCATCCCCAGCATGATGAAATGAAGGAGACAGGAGAATGAATGTGTGTATGGCACATAACACCTTAGAGACCATTGCAACCAGTGTGCGGAAGTTGTATGTTGTAAATTCAAACACTGTATGAATGCCAGTTCTACTACGGAAATACTGGTGCTGTGAAGAGGAGGCAGTGCTGGCATGTAGTGGCCGGACAGTTTGCTCAACTCTCGTTATTTGTCTTCTGAGATTGTCAGCTGTGCCCAGTTCTTACATTTTCTGTCCCAGGAAAAAGCAGAGTGTAGCAGAGCATAAGAACCGGTTGTTCTCTTTCTGGACACAACACTGAAGTGAACAGCAAAGCGTGTGATGGAAAAATAAGACCACAATGTGCAAATGGAACCAGAGAACGAAGCATGAGCCAAATTCAGTGCCTCCAGAGACTAAATTATAAGAAGGAAATCAGTCAGTGATGCAACTGGGTGAAGTAGAATGTACAAGAGCTCTCCTAACATAAGACAATTAAAGACAGTCATTAAATTTTAAATTACAGCATCTTTTCCTAGGAGGATGTGCTCAACTGCAGAAAAGTCCATCTCCACGGCATTCATTTGAACTAGGTGGGCCTTAATTGGAATGATGAAATCCAATAAAACCTTTGTAACTCGTTCCTCATCTGGTTAAAAATAGCCATGTTGGACACAGATGAGCTGCTGAAGGAGTCAAATTAAATAAGACACAGTTAGTATTCAGATGGGTTCGTCGTCCAACACAAGGAAGTGCTGATTTGGGAAAAGATATCCTATTATTCCTGTTTCCCCTTCTGTAAAATGGGACTAATGACTGACATCCTTTGAGAAGTGCTTTAAGTGGTAGCTGGCACTTTTATTGTTATCCTCATCCTGTTTAACTTGATTACTTCAATGGCTAGTGCTTTTTGAGGTTGCCTGTTTTTATAGCTGTGATAGCTTCATGCCGAAGATCTGTTCTTTTTAAAGTTGGCTTTTTTATGGGTCAGAGATTTTGTCTGAGCTTCTCCAGATCCAGCTGTTAGATTTCACAAAAATCTTTATTTGACAGGGAGCTGGTACTTAAGCTTGAGTTTCATCAAATGCATGTGTTGTGCAGATACCAATGTGAGTTAGGAATTGTTTTCCTCTCCTCTTCCTCACTTCAGGAGCCTCGTTTGTGGGTTCTAACTGGGGACATTTAATTCAAATGGCTAATCTTTTCACAGAACTCCAATACATGTCATAGCTCCTTGAGCATTTTTTTCTCTGTCCATAAAAGCTGTCATTTGTTTCCCCTGTTTTTCTTCTTTTCTTTTTCACTCTGCCATCTCTGCTGCTTTTCCTTTGCCTCTTTCTGTCATCTCACTTTTCTGCTCTCTTTCCTGCCTTTCTGTCTTACTGTAAATATGAGTTGGGGCTGGATTTTAGGCTGGAATGCATTTTGGCAGGGGTTGGTCCTCCAGTGTGTTTGAGGCACGATTTGAAATGGATAATGACATTTAGAAAGGTAAAATGGGGCTGTACTTTTAACTGTATTGACATACAGTTGATAGAAGAGCTTTTAGAGGGACTGAATAGAGAAAAATAGAAACTGCCTCTCAGATGACTGGTAAAATGGAAGATCTTTATCTGCCTCTTACTGGCTGCATTGCAGGATCATTTCCCCTACTGACTTCCCCTGCACAAACCCAAAATATACATATAAACCAAAAGGGATTTCAGGAGTTGATGGAAATGTACATTTTTAGCATTTCCAAACCAAAAAGTGCCATTCACTCCCCTTTCAAACACAGTACTAGAGTAAAGATTTAAGACAATGTAAGGCACAAGATTAGATTATCCCCTAGTTGAGATCAAATGCGAACCACAAGTTAATTGCATTATCACTATCTTGACTCCTGTATTTTGTTTTGAGAAATTCTGTGTTGGACTTCAGATCAGCTTGCCTTTTGTGGAGCTGTGAAAATCGGCTGGTGGTTGGGGTCATCTGTGGTTACAGCACTGAAACATTCAAGTGGGGAAACTGACCTACATTTTTGAAAGGGAACTCTACTGTGATACAGCTACTGACACCAAAGCCCCTCTCTTTCCCATTCCTACTTGTATTTGTCTGACATCTCTATACTCTTCTCTTAAACCAAATGCCAGCAATCTTTCATAGCAAATGAGATTTAAAACTCAGCACAGAGGAGCCAAAGCATAGTGTCCTGTAGTCACTTACCCAGTCAGTGATGGACTGCAAAGGACAGGAGACTTAAATTAAGCTCAGCAAGACTCATTCTTGATCCTGACAATTTGGTCAGAGTGTCTGGCTGGCTGCTGACGTGCATGTGTCTCTGCACCATGAAGGATCTGATTGGAGGAAGGGTAAGTACGTGTGTCCAGGAATACACCTTGATATGTTTGTATGTATGGCATTAAGAGCTTCTCCGTGCATGGAAATATGGATCTTTGGGGCCAAGCTTGCTGCTGTTTGCCAAGGTGGGTGGGTATGATATTGTGTCCGTGTCAGTGTGAGTTTGTATGTGTGCATGTATATATGCCTTTCTGCAGGGGGAGTGTGTGTAAACCCACAACTGTGTAAATATGTGTGTATCACTGGTTGTAATGATACATTATGATACTGACTTGCTTTGTAAAGTGCTTGGAGATCTATGAATGAAGAGCAGTGTATCAGCACTAGGTATTATAGGTTTGCTTATAGTGTGAGGGATTGTGTTCCTCCGTGCGAGAGCATGGGAGTCTGCGCTGCATGTGGGACCTTGGAGCAGTGTATGTGTCTATTTCTTCTGGGTAGGAAAGTATTGAAAGGTGTTACAGCCTTTGGGGTTGTCAATGGTGCTTGGCATTCCCCTACACCCAGAGCTACAAACGGAGGAAGGAAATGTCAGAACAATCACATATGCAAACATCCTTATGTTGGACCATGTGGTTTGCTATGTGATCACATGGTGGCATTCC